TAACCAAGGCCTATTCAGCATTCTACAGAAGATCTTTAAAAGTGCTACTTGTAGATCAGATAATTTCAGAGACAACAGGGAGTTTGCTGATGAAGGAGCAGTTGTGGGCTATAGCAAGGCAAAACAGAGAAAGGAAAAGCAAGTATCTCAGGCAAAACTTGTGTCCATTTCCTGAAGAAATAAACTGAAAAACTGTAACAGAGAGTTGTAATAACAGGTTTGACTCCAGAAGGAAGTTCAGGCACAGGAAGAATGCATATTAAGACGACTGAAGGGAATTTTGTGTGCCAGGAAATCCATAGTCAATGTAGGCGATGTTAGGCTTAAGGTAGCAGAAGGAGGAAAAGAGAGGGAAACACAACAGCATCCATTTCAGTGTACCCGGTTTGTCATCATAATCTAAAACACAAATGATCCAGGGGGAAAGAATAATACTTAAAACTGAACAATAGTGGGAAACTTACTGGGTAAAACCTGTAGTGTGAATGCATAGGAGGAAAGTCAACATAGTTTTGGAATGACAGAGAAACTGTTATTAGGATGCATTATTTACTAAGACTACTTCATCTTTAGCTTCTGATCTGTAGGACAATAAAAGCCTGTGATAGAGCACAGGCAGAAATACCTGTACCTTTAAAACAGGCAATTGCTCTTTGAATCATTTATAAATAGAATAAAAAAGAATAACCATTTCAAAATATTTTATGTTCTCTGTACTTTCTTTCACATTTTAATCACAGTAGTAGAGCGATTATTTTCATTAAAGCAGAATTGAAATTTTAACTGAGAAGCAAGAAAAAATTCATAGGACTTGATCAGAGATTTCCATACAAGATACTTCTATTGTACCAGGTAAGAAAAGAAGCACCTTGGCCTGCAGCCCAGAATGTGCACTCGCAGCCCAGAAAGCTAATGGTATCCTGGGCTGTATCAAAAGGAGCGTGACCAGCAGGTCAAAGGAGGTGATCCTGCCCCTCTACTCTGCTCTCGTGAGACCTCACTTGTAGTATTGTGTACACTTCTGGTGTCCTCAACATAAGAAGGACATGGAGCTGTTGGAGCAAGTCCAGAGGAGGGCCATGAGGATGATAAGAGGACTGGAGCACCTCCCGTATGAAGACAGGCTGAGAAAGTTGGGGCTGTTCAGCCTGGAAAAGAGAAGGCTGCGTGGAGACCTCATAGCAGCCTTCTAGTATGTGAAGGGGGCCTAGAAGGATGCTGGACAAGGACTCTGCATTAGGGACTGTAGTGATACGACTGGGGGTAATCGGTTCAAACTTAAACAGGGGAAGTTCAAGTTAGCTATAAGGAAGAAGTTCTTTGCTGTGAGGATCGTGAGGCACTGAACAGGTTGCCCAAAGAAGTGGTGAATGCTCCATCCCTGGCAGTATCCGAGGCCAGGTTGGACAGGGCCTTGAGTAACCTGGTCTAGTGTAAGGTGTCCCTGCCCATGGCAGGGCTATTTGAACTAGATGACCTTAAGGTCCTTTCCAACCCACGCATTCCCTGATATGCTGGAGGGAAGGGATGCCATCCACAGGGACCTTGACACGCTTCTCAGGTGGCCAATGCCAACCTCATGAAGTTGAACAATGCGAAGTGCAAGGTCCTACACCTGGGCTGGGGCAATCCTAGGCACAGCTACAGGTTGGGTGGAGCAGCCCTGTGGAGAAGAACATGGGAGTATTGGTCAATGAGAAAGTGAGTATGAAGATCTTACAGTCCTTTCCAGCCGTAACCATTCTATGACTCTATAATGCTATGATTTTATCCCTTAGCAACAGTGACCTAAGCACCATACCTTCTGAAATTACTTTCTTCTTTATATGTAAAATCATCATGGTTTCAGGTAAACTTCAGATAAAACTTTAAAAGCTCAATACAATAAGGACATTTTATTTTTATTATTGACTGGCTGTTAATGAAATCATTCCAAGAAGTACAGGATATTTTTGCTGTCATTAATTCTTGATCTATGTTACTGCTTAGGCTAAAATATTATCTAATAATATACATGACTGTTGTTTTGACTTTTTTTTTTCCTTATTTTTCTTATATATGACAAACATCACTGATACCAAGGACAGTATTCTAGCATAATGTATAGATGTTACTTGAAAAAAAAAATCTTATATATATTTTGATGTATCTGATGAAGTGAATGTTAAGCATACAGAATTCTAGTAAGTCAGGGAATAAACAATCGTACCATGGGTATCATTCTTAAAAGCTGCAGTTTTATTTTACTAAATTATCTATGTTAAAAACAAATCTGTGCCTGGTGTGGAATTTCACTGCATCATGTGTTACAATATTTTTGTTTTCATTACAAGCAGAAGAATGCATGTAGAACAAGTGTTAACAAACATGACAATAAATTAGAATATAATTTACAAAAGCAAAAATATAATAAAGTAACAGTGTACCACATTAATACTGAGTATAAAATAATAAGCAACTAATCACAATAATACAAAGGTAATTTCAATCTGTATTATTAAGGATATCTATGTGACATTCACTCCATTACAAAGTTCCTAATGAAATGGACTATTTTTGGGTGAATACACCTTGAGGGGTTAATCTCTAGATTTTTATTTGTTTTAATCTTCTTCAGGTGATAGTATTGCTCAGTGGAACTACTGGCACCAGATAGATTCCTGCATGTCATATTCCATTTGATTATAGGCCTGTTATATTTATAGCCTATACAAATAGCCCTTTTTGTCACTATTTAGGAATATAGTACTATTTATCTTAGATTATATAGTTGGCTACAGTCTCGCAGCAGCAGCGAACTGTGCTGTCAAAACCAGTTATTTTTCTTTGAATTAGGTTTAATTTTCCGGTCTTAGTCTGAAGCGTTGCTTAGTTTGTAAATCCACATACATTCTGCATTTTCTTCCCTTTAACAATACAATTCAATGTTGCTCTAGGGAGTTCTTTAAATTCCAGCCTCAGTGCTGTTATGCTGCAGAGTAAACATCTGACTCCCTAGTGTTCTAGCACCAGTAAGAGAGCAAAATGTGTCTTTGGAAACACTCCTTACAATTTTAATGTCCTAAGTGAGGCAAAAAAAAATAGAAAAGGTTTATTTTGAATACATAGAAAACCCTTTTCTTACTAGATGAAAAGACACATTAGCTGATAAAAAAAATCATGCCCTGGAGAAAACTGGACCCTGATACAAAGAGGCCTCTTGCTTAGGGAATGCTGTAGCAACCCATTTCCCTTTCATCATATTTTTGACCTACCCAGGGCATGCTAGCACCAAGGTGTTTTGTCAAAAGGACATAGCAAGTCAATTCACTTAAAAGAGAAGGACTGCATACTGCCCTATGTGCAACTCCCAAAGATTGGGGGGGTTTATCTACTGGTGTCAGTTTTAACAGGAATTGTTTACATGGTGATGAGAGCAGCAGAGAAGCATATGTGAATACACGCAAGCCAACTGAAAATGAATTCCACTGGTCACAGGCATACGGAACTGGAAATACTGCAAGAGGTAGCAGATGACAGGAATTCGATGGTCATGAATACGTGGGCTGCACAAAATCCCACAGATAGATTGTCAATATGTTGGGGGGTTTCATAGTATGAATCCTGTTAACAGTATCTATTGTTCCATGTTAATTCACATTAGTAAATAGTGTGCAACGCATTTTGCTTATTATTGGTAAAATACACTGGTACGCTTCAAACTCATTGTACTTTGAAATTATTTTTCACGGAAAAGAGTATTATTTTTTTTTTTGAAAGTGCTATTTGAGTTAGAATTTGTAACACATTGTTCACTTAATTTTAATTGCATTACAACAAAGGAGGCATAGTTGGAGACAAAAGCACATTCATCAAGTACCTGTTGCAAAATGCAAGTGTTCAAGTACAATATATTAATATAAACAAGTACCTATTTTCTTATCTCCTTGTTGAGTCTGTTACTGTAAGGTGAAGGGCAAGAAAAGCACAACAATTAACTTTTTTATGGTAGGTTCTTGAATGTGACTTGCCTAAGTAGTTTGGTTTCACATTTAAAAATGGGAAGTGTTTGGCGAATATTAAAAATATGGTCGTATGAAATAAATGGAGTATGGCAGCAGCATAGTTAAGGCATCTAACTACTAACCTAGAGGCATGACTTTGTTCCAGTCTCATGCTGAAAGCTGCCCCTAGCTTTAAATATGGTCCAGCTTTAAATATGTACCTGCCCATTTAGGTGAAGGTAGCTAGACTTCATTTTATCCCCTTTTTTACAGTGTGCTTTACTCCTGACAGTCCAAGAGGCCTCTTGGCTCAAGCACACTTTTGACTTCTCATTTGAACAGAACCTAGATACCTCCATGAGCCATTTAATTCTTTGGTCGTAATCCTTGCCCACTCAGATGTGGTCTCCTGAACTGCACATTCACATATTCTTTCTCATAAACAAATGCCCTTCTGCTATGGTATCAAAGAAGGGACATTCTGGAATCCATTTTAACTTCGAGCTTTGCAAAGGATTGTTGCTGTTTCGTAGCAGGCTTACCTTTTGCACTGGAATTCCCTAGTTTTGGAGAATCCAAAGTAACATGTAAACCAGATCAAGATGCCCACAAAGTTGTTTCTTCTTTGTGGCTGGTGTTGTAAACAGAAGTGAGCTGGAGTAAAAAGTCTAAGTTCTAAGCAACCTGTACGGTAGTAGTGAAGAAGCTGGCAACACAGTCACCACTGTTGGGAGTCTACCTCCTCCATGACACTCAAATATGCTCCCTTTCAGTGGAAATCTCAGCCTCATTTGTACAATCATAAGATGGCTATAAACCTGCAACACAGATTGCATTTCATAGCACACTTGTATTTCATGCACCACTGCAATATTTATTGGACCTCTTAAAACTAAGTCCCTTGTGGTTGTTCTATTTAGTGTAGCTTTATATATGGCCCACAGCAGTGTTCAGGAAATACGGATTACTCCAAAGGGAATTAGGTGGAATGAAGGAAAAATAGCATTTTTTTTTTAAATTTCTGCTCCTTAAATAACATTTCCAAGCTCATTTTATAATTTAAATTGTGGTGCTGTGTCGTGAGATAAAATAGTTAACATTTTTAAGCTATGACTTAATGTTTTTTTTTGATTCTTCTTTACTATCATTGTAGACCAAGTCATAACAGCTACATTTTAAACAGTTTTAAATACAAATGGATTCAGTGTCATTGCTAAGTCCATAATAAAAATTATTTTAATGGTCCAAGGAGGTAAACAGACTATGCGATTTAGTCAAAAGAACACATATGTTCCACAGTAAGCTATTCTATATGTGTTGTGTGGATCTTTCCAATTTGGCATGCCCTCCTTATACTGTGTCCAGCACTTTGGATTAATAAATCCCACTTCACAGAAGTTAAAATAATATTGAAATCCTGTCAGCTGGGGCTGACCAGTGGTTACGTTTTCCACAGGGTAATGCATTAGCAAGGACGTCAATCTCATTCCGCTGTGTGGCTCTCTTCGATGGACACTTCCACAACGATAATAACAAGGCACATTCTTGTGCTTTCTGTGGGTCAGTGTCCTTGGCAGGTCTTGCAGCACATCTGTCTGAAGTATGCTCGACTGCAGAACTTGAACTTCAGCACCAGTGGGCAATATGCCACTTTGTTCACATCTTTGCATTCTAATAATTAAGAGCATTAAAGAGAAACAATCAGAAATTAAAATCAAAGTACAAAGAAAATTCAACATTTAACATGCTTCTCTATCCATCCACCTTGCCCTCTTAATTATGACTCTTTTTAGTCCAGCCTAGTGCATACAATATATTTTAAAAGTCATAAAAATATTTGCAGGGCTTCTCTCTCAGACATTTAAAAGTGTGCCCACTTTGTCTTGGAAGAGTTATCATGTATTGGGATAAATGATCACTTTATACGGTTAGGAAATGTGAGTCATTTCTCTTACAATACTTTTATAGCTTCTTTCTCAGGAGTTATTTTATCCATCCATGAAAGGTTATCCAAAATCCAACACGATTCACACTATTTGGTACCATGCCTCTGCATTCGTAAGAATCCTTGAAACAGAATGTGCATTTCAACTAACAGGGATGTAGAAAACAACAGGTGTTATGAATAAAGGCACCAGCAGAGTGAGTTCAGTGACTGGACTGAATGGTGGGTCATACTATAGGCTTAGTTCCACACATCCACAGTTTCTTTTATGCAGGAGCAAAAGCTATTTTTATGCCTGTAACAGACATGTAAGAGGCTTTCTTTCACAGTTGTGTTTTCCCTATATGCTGGGCTTACTGCCTCAGCAGCCCTTGTTGGCAGGTATCTCTCTCTGGAAGGGAGAACAAGAGCTGTAACACACAGATGAAGAATTTTTTCTTTTCCATCCCCCACAGGTTATTTCTAAAGTGAGTGTGTGTGTGGGGGGGTGTACATCACAGGAGGACTGCTAGAATATGCTGAGGTTCTCCTCTGGCTCAGTTCCCTTTCTGTAGAAAGAAAGCAGGAATAGGGAATGGAATAGTTTGGTCCATGCCCAGTTCTTATTCTGATACAGCTATATCGGAGAGCACACAGGTACACTCAGGTTCTAGATCTCAGATGTTGCTACTGCAGATTTCCTTTGCATTGGAGTGAATATTGTGATATATGCCTGATAGGTGATTTGTAGTTAAAAGCATTTGCACAGTTCCTTCCAGACTGGTATTAAAATAGGACTTTGGCAAGGAGTTCTGCTTCATGTCTAGGAAGATGGAAGAGATGTATACAGAGAAAAAGTAATCCACACAAGTTTGAATTACAAATATTAAGTAATGAGAAGAATGAAATCAGATTAATTTCTCTGAAAATTATTAGTCTCAAAAGAACACTGTAAGTTTTTACTCTTTTAAGGTTGCATTGTAAGGTTGCATCTACTGTGAGGTGTCCCTGTCCATGACAGGGGGGTTGGAACTAGATGATCTTAAGGTTCTTTCCAACCCAAACCATTCTATGCTTCTACAATTCTACGATTTGATACTGTCTTCCTCCTATAATCTTTCCCAAATGTCCCAGGTTCAGCTACAACAGCTATAAAGAAAATGTGAATAAAAAGGAGAAGACCTAGCAGTACTCTGACTGCTATCTTTTTTTTGTATTGATTTGGTATCTGTAAGCGAAGACAAGGCCAGGACGCTGTTGCTCCAAGGCCTGACATAACAACAGTCTTCTACTCTGAGATGTCTGCAAACCAAAAACAGACACACCAAACAGTTAAGAGAAGTAAAAAAGTAAGAGTAAAACAAACACAAGCAGCACATACAATCAATCAGCTACTCCTATTTGTCTTCTTTCTACATACAATCACCTAGTACTTTATTTTTGATCCGGAGCAAGTAATTATGGACAGCGCAGTCATGCCGCAAACATACTGCAGTAGCAAGTTAAGTGCAGATGAGAATTTTTAGTAACCGAACCTAGGAAAGCATTAGAAAGGCTGAACTTCGGGGTCTGTACTGAACAGTACCTCTGTATGGTACCATGCATGCACGGTTTTAACTAGATAAGTAGAGGTCATGAAATGAATTAAACTTTCACTAACAGGGATATAGTGCTTTCACTGTAATTTTTTATTCCATCTACCCAATGTTTTGTGTACTATTTTTCTAAATTCTTAATTCTCAATTTGGAAGTAGCATAGGATGCCAGCAGGAAAGGCACTGGGAATAGCTGGTTGAAACAGACATATTTCTCTATCAGCAACCACACACGGTCACTGTGTCTTACTGAGCTTCAAAAAACTCTTCCCAAAAGAAGTCAAATATCTTCCAGTATATTTCAGGTCTTTGTGTTTGTAAAGACTGGGAATATACGAGAGACAGATGGCGAATTATAAATGACGTGAGGAATAAAAAGATCCACTTGATCTTGATGAGAAGCAAAAAGTTCACTCAACCCCAAAAGTAACCCTCATACACATTGTATTTAGTTAAACACAGGTAAAAGCCACTAATTGCATTTTGCTAAAAGTAGGATTTGAAATTATCGTATTTCCTATTTCTTTACATTATTCTTCCTCTTGACTAAAACTGGACCCTGTTCAGGCAATGCCATTTGGACAGAAGTGAGACAGTACTCTGGAAGTTGCCCACAACTTCTGTTTTAAAAATCAGTTTTGAAACAGATATGGTGGCTGATGAAGTAGCCTATTCTTCATAGGACTGTAGTTGAATGGAAGAGGTTTAGCAGAGCCCATTTTGTTCCTAGTAACTACTGTTAATAAGTTTCAGTAAGCTACATGTATCAAACTCTTCCTTCCTGAACTTTGTTGCTAGATCAGACAGTATTACGATATTAATTACCATGTAACACTAATAAAATCACAGAATGTCACTGTGCCTTTGGCTGAAGAGACTGCAAAGAAATACCACACAAAACATAAAACAAGGAAAACTATAATAACATAAACATAGAATATTTTTTCAGGTGAAATTTCAGATGGCCTTTAGCAGTCTAGATTCACCAGACATATATATACTTAAGAGAATAAAATAATTCTGAATACATTTGAAATCACATGGCACTCGCTGCCTGTAGTTCACTTCCAGCAAATGCAATGTTATCCTCATCAGAGGCAGCCCATCAAAACCCCATTTGCAATATTCTAAATTACCAATGAAGAGTTTAAAGAAAACAAAGACCTAAGTAGATGAAAAATGTGAGAAGATACATCATAACTTTCTTCTATTATTTCTGTATCCCCCAAATTTTACGTAAAAAACCTGTACTGATCCCAGGAAAGTGCTTCCATACTTTAGGAACATGATCATTGTGCAGAAGTTGTTGAAAGGGTTCTATAGGTTGCTAGCACTGAAGCTGGACAAATGAAGGCAATCAGGCAGTGTGCTGGGGTTTGAAACAGAAGAGGAATCCCCTCAGCTAGTCTCACTCTGTTGCTGATGCTGCTTTTTCCCCACAGTAGGGCTCAAAGCACAAGGCAGTGCGAGCAGGTTTTATGTGGACAAAGTCTCCATGTGAGAGCAGGCATGCTCATGCTATGCACATGCACTCCCAAGGTGCAGAACCCTCCCTCTGAGAAACTTGACTCATTCCCTGAAACCCAAATACTGATACACACTTCACATCCCACTGCACCTGAAAAGAGACAGACACAAGTGTACAGGCACAGTATACCCCTCTCACAAGTACATTCACAAGGAAATATCAGAACAGAAATACTTCTTTCTCCGAAAGTATTACCTTTCCAAAAATAGTTGTGCTCTTTTATGATCAGTTAGTTCTTGAAATCTGACAAGCTTTTCATCATTTAAAGTATGCTGCAAAAGACAGCCCTCTGTTTAAAGGCCAACACTTTACTAACACATATGATGTCAGCTCCTTTTGCATCTAGTAAGATTTTAAGGCAGAAAATGTGCAACATATACACATTATTCTGTAAACTGTCTGAGCTTGTTGTATTCAGTATCTAATAGCAGCTCTGAGATACGTATAAATTAGAGCATGAATTTCAGAAATACCTGCAAAAGTATTGACAAAATACCCCGAAGTCAAAATTTTTGTCTAATTTTGGAATAGTATTTCATGGACTGCAGCAAGATTCTTCTGAAAGGATGTAGGTATTTTTAAGTGTTAAATTAACTTTGAGATTACATTTATTTTTGAGCTATTTGAGTCACTTAATCTTGAAACTAAGAGGAGACTGGGACTAAATCATGCCCACTTGTAGGTACTTTATTACCACCCTGACTTTGGGAAAAGTCAACATCTGTGTTTGGAAATAAAGTATCATTTAGCCTTTGAGCTCTAAAGGGCAGACTGTTTTCTAGATTCATAATCTTCAGGTAAAGATACTTGAGAGCACTGAACATAAAAAATAAGAATTACAATAACCAATAATAACCAAGGAAAATTCTATTATGAAGGGGTTTTGACAACCACAACATGGGATTATAAGCCTCTATTTAAAATTAAAACTTCCAAGCCATAAATTACGGTGCTCATACACTGAATCATTAATGTACTTCTGGGATGATTTTAGTATGATCCCATTTTATCACAGACACCTTCATTTGACAGAATTTTATGACAACTTTCAATCTCTGGTGTGGACCTGAACAGATACAGTAGATACTGAAGGAACACCAAATCCAGGTAGACTGTAGCATAAATTAGCCTTTTTATTTTTTTTTTTAAATTTAAAATCAAAGTATTTGTTCTCCATAAATAGATTACTAAACTCCAGTGTAATTGGGGCACCTGTGTAAAAGATACTCCATTATATACTGTGCAGAGATTTGTTATGTTAAAAGGTGCAGTGTTAGTGACACTGTGGTCAAGTACTCACTATTTAGAAAATAACTGTTTCAAAAGAACTATTACTTTTGTGCAATCTCTCTTGGGTTTTGGAGATAAGTGTTTAGCAATTTTTAATTTCTTTTACCCTTCCACGCAAAATGAAATGTACTCATCTGGGGAGAAACTATTCTAAATTTTCACAATCAACGAGGAAACTTTTTACTGCCTACCACTCCAATTCTACTTCAAAGACAGCATTTCCTAAAAGGTTGGTTTCAACAACATATGATACTGAGCCTTTCATAAACATTAGTAAACTTATATTGACATGATTATCTAATATATCATCTAGCAAAAATATGTTATGATGAAGCTACTTAGTAGTCTAATTAAATAAGACTATTATGTAAAAGATATTATTTCAAATGGGCATTACAAATCCGAGAAATTAAAAGTTAATTAGGAGAAGCCAATGAAAAAATTGAAGTAGATTCACATGAACAGGCTTGTAGCACTGTGTGGCATTAAATCTGTGGTCTCAGTCTTTCAATGAACATGTAATCAGTTATTTTTGCCACTACATTGTTATGTTAACCACTGATGGAAAAGGTAGAACGTCAGTGGATGAGAATTATATCATGCTGCCCCTACTATAATGGACTTTTCTACTGAACCAATAAAGAACCTGTATTACCATATTCACCTTAGAACTACAACGATTAATTAGAAAATAACTGTAAAAATTCTTTCACAGTCTGAAAGATGATGTCATGTAGTCTTTTACTAATAAATTAATGCAGTAATACTGACCATGTCACTTTAAGATGGCAAACTTACCTTCTGTGTTGGAAATGGGAGCACTGTCACATTTACTTTCACACTGCTGCATAGATGGAGGTCTAAGTGTTTCTGAACACTCGCTGGAAGCTTGTCCGGTGTATGAGAGGCACTGCACTGTTCTCATCTGTTGCCCAAGACCACACTGTGCAGAACACTAGAAATAAGAAAGATAGAAAGTAGAAAAAAAACCCTTGGATCCAATTTTTAAATATAAAACAAGGTAACAGAAAAGCAATCAGGAACAGTACACATGAACAAATTTTAAAGAAGACAGGCATCTGAAGATAATTAGTTCATAAAGAAAATATTTTCATAAAATAGTTTAGCACTTGTCTGTCAAGGTAAACAAACCACACAGCAATGCTGGCTCCCTGCACAGTTCAGAGCAGGGGTATAAGAATATAATTTGCACTATTTCATGAACCATGTCTCAGTGTAAGCTCATATTTTTCAAGCGAGAAATAATGACTTTAGAATACAGAAGAAAAAAGGAGAATGAGAATTTGAATCTGCTAGAGGACCTTTTTTAAGGAAAAGGGAAACAATCTTCCAAAAAAAAAAATCCCCAACTTCACTGTTCTTAAACATTTTTTAATTTCAAGAACTAAACAGTGATTTTAGTTCAACATCAATGTAAGATAAATGCACATCTCAACAACTTCCGTCAAAGAAAAGATTAGGCTGTAATACCACAAATGATTGTCCCTGCTTAGTTAAGCTAAAGTGGTTTATTTTCATGAGTGGCAAATTACTCTCTAAACTTAGGAACTGAAACATCCTGTTTTAAAAACAGGACGTTGATCTTAACTGAGATCCAGAACATAAAGAAAGACGGAAACTCAGTATATTACATTTAAAATACTGCATCATGGCAGAACTATTCAGCCTGTCCTGTAACAACTTAGCTAGCCCTGTCTGGTAATTCAGTGTATTTTACATAAAATTATATAAATCTCAAAGGGGTTTTGGCAGATAGATATATATATATATATATATGTTACTAAAAGAAGAATTGGCTTTGTATCTCTATTATGTTTCTCAAGAAATTTACATGTGTTTTAAAAATACTAAACCTTGCAACATTGTTGCATCCCAAAATCCCCTTTCCAAAAAAACTGTAATAGGACTGTTTTTCACAAAATGCATACAGAAACTCATCCAGTAGAAACTACATTGCTGTCAGCAAACCCTTTATAGTTCAGGAGACAACTATGATTCAGAATTACATTTCAATCTGAGACAAAGACGGAAGAAGCTTTTGTTTCAGTTATGGGAACCATCTCTTACCTATTTCCAGCCATGTCTTATTCTTAGAAGGATATCCTTACCTTTATCCGTATTCTTCTAATGTGTAGAATAACAGCAATATATATTTATATGAAGTATCTCACCTGTCCCCAGTCTCCAGTAACCCAGCGAGGAGGAGGACATCGGCCTAAACTACAGCGGATGCGGACTGGTGGCTTGCTTTCTTCTTGGCACTGCGCGGCTGGAAAAGTTTTTAGAAGATCACTGCTTTTGCACAGAACAATTCGGTGTTTGAATCCTGGGCCACACTTTGGTGTGCACTGAAAAGATATTGCCATAAATAACGAAAATCTCAGTACAAAGCCAGTAAAAGCGTCAGAAATGTTATTATAGAAATCAGGAGAATATATTTATGGTCTTATAATCAAAGTATACTTACAGTTTTACCAAGACTATAATATTTTTAAATGCTTAAAAACAAAAACAAGCTGAGTGATGATCACTTTATCAAGTTTTTGTAAGTTTTAATTTAATAAAAGTAGATTTACTGCTTAGGGTATGGTGTTACCACTTACTTTTATATATAAGAGCTTTTAGGTTAGGTTTAATAAAAGCACTTTGCTGAAAAGCAGAATGGTCTGCCACAGGTAGCGCTACTGTGAAACAAACTTGAGTGGGCATTTCAGAAATTAAAAGTAGAACTCTCTGTCCACCTCACATACAGACTGCTGAGCTACAACAAACACATTTTTCCTGAATCAACAAGAGGAAGATCAATGCTTTACTGGACTTCATAGGAACCAGACTGTTCAGATAGAAATACTGTACCCTCTCCTACAATGCATGCTTTTCTCTCCTTTCCTATTTAAATATAAATTCTGTTTTCACACAGTTCTTGTTTTTCCTCCTTTTATCACCCCTCTGCTCATTTTAACAGCAAGTAGCTAATAAAACATTAATTTGAAAAAAGCCAGTCGAAGGACCTCTACTTTTCCTCCTCTTCATATTGGTTACCCTCCCTTTCTCCTTCCTTTTTACTACTGACAGTTAATTGTCATTTACATTAGCACAACTGCAGAATGGGGAAGAGACAAGCACTAACAAAATTAATACCCAAGACCTTCTTCAAATCAGTCCCTCTAACAGCTGACCAGGAGATCTAGACATACAGTTTTAGAATTTCCAATTCACGTGTTAACCTTTACCCCACAAGTATATCTGCAGTATTTGGACCAGAATTGGTTTTTGATAGCATAAACCTTACATACAGATTATGCTAAACTGTCAAGAGTGGAACTACCTTTCATATGGATAAGGAGCTGCTGAGGAAACTTAGA